GACATACTTTGGACATGTTGTAAGGAGAGACAGGTCTTTAGAGAGGGACATCATGCTGGGTAGAGTAGAGGGACAGCGCAGGAGGGGAAGACCCTCTACGGGGTGGATTGATTCAGTGACTGGGGTACTCGGCATGGGTGTGTCAGAGGCAATGAGATTGGCACAGGATAGAGCATGGTTTAGGGCTATGAGTCGCAAACGGCTCAACGGTACATAACAACAACGACAACTATAGACTACCAAAAGGATAAGGAAATCTGGGAAGAAGTGAAGCTAGAGTGCTTCTTAGAAGCCAGGTTGGTGAGACTCTGTCTCTCATACTTTGAGTATTTTACTAGGAGGGACCAGTCACTGGAAAAGGACATCATGGTTGGAAAAATAAGTCCGTGAAAGAAGATTTTCAATGAATGGAATGGCACAAAATCCAACAGGATTTTGTTCTACATTGAGTAGCCCTGAGTTGGAATGTACTACTTGGCACCCAACAACAACACTGAAATATTTACATATGAAATTATATGTATGTTGGAATTTGCTTTAAAACAATCTAGGAATGGATGGGAGTAGAACTCAAGCAAGAATGACCATGAATTAAAAACTGTTGAATCTGATTGACTAAACGGAGCCACTCTAAAATGAATGTCAGAAATACTATAAAACAAGAATTCTTCCTTTCATCTCTTGCTCCTTTATCACCCATTTTGACTGATCATATTCTTCTGTGGAGTTTCACTTTCTTTTGTTATGTCACTCTGTGGTGAGGTTCTTGAAGTCTCAGTGCTGACAACGTTCCTTCATATACTTTGTATCCTCAGAACTTACAGTGTATGAGAGGTTTTAAGTAAGTTTGAAAGAAAGAGGTTGTCAGGAATTCATTCTTTGCTTGGAACTAACTCAAGGGAAAAGAAATAGGTAACAATTTAGGAACTTAGATTTTATTATTTGGTAGTATGAGTTTTTTTTTTTTTTTCATTATCAAAATGGTGCAAACTAGATAGGTCACATTTTCTTACAGATTATGACACACTGACTCAAAAATTGCCCCAACAGTGAACCTAGATGATAATGATATATGTTAATTGTTCAGGAATTTAAATAACAGAGGCAGACAAGAAAATAAAAATCACCCCTCTTTCTATAATTTAGACATTGCTGCTACGTTTTAAAACCATTCTTAATATCTTGTATTGTAAAAACCATCAGACTTTCAAATGTGTTTAAAAAACTTTTCAATATTATTCAATGAAAAAACTTTATATTGTCATTTACATAGTTTGCATTCACTGTTTGTTTAAGGAAAAACACCATCATTGTATGCTTAGAAAAATCTTCAAAACTATTCCCTAGTGAATTCTTATCATAATTTAAAGGGTATTTTCTCCACTAAAATAAAAATAAAAGCCCATTTTAAAATGATAGATTAAATACCAAAGCAAAAGCTTTACATTGTCCCATGAAAAAAAAAAATAATTCACTTGCTCCTAATCCCTGATGCATGGCGCTTCTAAGAAGCCACACAAAACATACATTTAAATACCATGTGCTCTTGCACAAAGACAGACATATCCCACACTCAATTTATATCTAAATATTTGAGATTGTACTATACAGACTTATTTAGGAAGCTGAGAACTTCCTTTGTTAGTGAGCCTGTTGTTGTGTACCGTCAAGTCAGAACCAGCCCATACATAGCTGACCCTCTAGTGAGTTTTCAGAGGTAGTTAATCCCACAGGGGGAGATTGCCCACCCTTCTCCCGTGGAGAAGCTGGCACGTGCCTTCAGGATTGCAGCACAGCATCTTGCCACTAGGCCACCAGAGCTCCCTAGTACCTAGTACTGCTTTTGTTTTCATTATCATTGTTAATATTAATTGTTATTTAAACATACCAAACAAAATGTTGAAATGTTTTTAAAAAATAATTGTGATTGCTTTAATATGATTCTCCGAGTTATTGTTAGAAAATCTAAGCATACCCTTGATTGTATTTTTCTTTCTACATTTTATGACAGAATACTTCAGAAAGTCAGAGTTGTGCCAGAAGTCTCTTAATGACAGATCGAGTCCAAATAGTTGTGATCCTCTCTGAATTTTTTAATTCCACATGGCAGGAGGCAAATTGTGCAAGTAAGTAATTGTTTTATATTGTATTTGTAAGCCAGGTAAATACTAAGTTTATGTGAATTGTGGTTAGCATTATAGTTGTGTGAAAAATACTTGGGTAAATAATAGGTGAGAAGTACTAGAAATTTAGTTATCTTACTCAAGCACAAAGTACTATCTGTACTATAGTATTATATTTAAATTGTTGTTGATTGCCATCAAGTCAAGCACAACTCATAACAACCCTATGAACAAAAGGCCTGAAGCCTTTCTATAACTATCGGTATTTATCAAAGTTCATAGAGTTTCCAGAGGCATTATATTTATATTTTATATTTATATTATTTATATGTAAATATTATACTGTATTAAGTTTTCACTGTATTTTCAGAAATTGATGATTGTTTCTGTTGTTAACAGTAGAGATCTTTATGCAGAGTTCTAATAGATACCAAATACTGTTTTTAAAGATGCATAATTTCAGTTATAATAGTTAAGTTGTTTTCTATGTAAGGTCTTAATTTAAATATTTAACATCTTTATAAATGCTTCTGAGCCTTAACTGACAAAGCAGCTACACTAATCTGTCCTTGGTGAGGCACCATTAATTGTCTGAGATGAGGAAAATTCGTAATAACCACTTCACTGAGTGAGTATAGGAAGCTTTATGATTATTAATATTGCTTAGCTTTTTATAACCTTATACTCCCAATTTCTACACACATGACTTCGTGTATCACAGATACACAGAGCCATTGAGGATATAGTGCTCTTTTTTACTTCTGTGAGAAACATCAAATAAAAACATTATAAATATTTTGGATTTCATTAGCATAATATACTAATATTCTGCAAATATATAAATGTGATAATTTAGATTTAGATCTACTCTACCTTGTTCATCTATCTCCGACTGTAAAAGTCAGAGAACATTGATTATGCAAAGGCGTTTGACTGTGTGAATCATAACAAATTGTGGCTAACTCTGAGAAGAATGGGAATCCCAGAACATTTAATCGTGCTAATGCAAAACCTATACTTGGGCCAAGAGCAGTCGTCAGAACAGAGCAGGGTAACACTGCATGGTTCAAAATTGGGAAGGGTGTACATCAGGGATGTGTCCTATCTCCATACCTTTGCAACCTGTATGCAGAGCAGATTATCCAAGAGGCTGGGCTCTTTGAGGAGAAGTGTGGCGTCAGGATTGGTGGAAGATCTATCAACAATCTGTGTTATGCAGATGACACAACCCTGCTTGCTGAAACTGAGGAGGACCTCATGCACTTGCTGCAGAGGCTCCAGGACTGCAGCCTTCAGTATGGATTGAGGCTCAATGTCAAGAAGACAAAGATTCTTACAACTGGACCAACTGGCAGCATCAGGATGGATGGCAAAGAGATTGAGATTGTTCACAGCTTCAGTTTGCTCGGCTCCATGGTCAACACTCTTGGCACCAGCAGCCAGGAAATAAAAAAACGTATTGCAATGGGAAAGTTTGCTGTTAGGGACCTCTCTAAAGTACTCAAGAGCAGCGGTGTCTCTCTGGACACTAAGGTGCGTCTGATACAGGCCATGGTCTTTGCAATCACTTGTTATGCATCAGAGAGTTGGACAATGACTAGGGAGGATAGAAGGAAAATTGATGCCTTTTGAGCTGTGGTGCTGAAGAAGAGTATTGAATGTATCATGGACTGCCAAGGAAACAAACAGATTCATCCTGAAGAGGGTTAAACCTTGCTACTCCTTGGAGTCAAGGATTCTGGGGCTTCGTCTGACATACTTTGGACATGTTATAAGGAGGGACAGGTCCTTGGAGAGGGACATCATGCTTGGGAGGGTAGAGGGACAGCACAGGAGGGGAAGACGCTCTATGAGGTGGACTGATTCAGTGACTGGGGTAATCGGGATGGGTGTGTCAGTGGCAGTGCGATTGGCACAGGATAGAGTAGGGTTTAGGCTGTTGTACATAGGATCGCTATAAGTTGCAAACGACTCGACAGCACATAACAGCAACAACTTTGTTCATAGAGAGAGTCAAAACTACTTCATAGGATGTTCAACTAGAAGTCTGGTGGCCTAGTGGTAAGAAGCTGTGCTGCAATTCCAAAGTCACTGTGGGCCAAATCCACTAGTGGTTCAAATCCACCAGCCCTGCAGATAAGGATTTGCAGTTTATTCCCATGTGATTAACTACCTCTGAAAATCAGCAGGAGGGTCAGCTATGGGTCGGTTTCAACTCTATGGTATATACCAATAATCACCATATCTATAGATAGGAAGCTCTGGTGGTCTGGTGTTAAGAAGCTGTGCTGTAATCCTGAAGGCATGCAGTCTGAATCCACCAGCTGCTCCATGGGAGAAGAACTGGCAGTCTCCTCCTCTGTGATTAACTGCCTTAGAAAACTCTCCAGAGGGTCAGTTGTGGGTCAGTTCAGACTCGGTACATAACAAGAACAACAACACACTACAAAAAAGATTCCTGGTGATATAGAGCATTCACTGTGGCATGCTGGTAACTGAAAAGTTGGTGATTCAGGCCCACCAGTGGCTTCGCCTGGTGAGCAGCATCTTTTTTGTAACCTCAGAAACCCTAAGGAGGATAGCCATGAGTCCAAACTGAAGCATGTTTTTTACTTTATACTATATATGTTGTTGTTGTCATCAAGTCGAACATGACTCATAGTGACAATATGAACACAAGGCCTGACGCCTTTCTATAATTATCAACATTAATCAAAATTCATAAGAGTTTTGGAGGCATTCTCTTTAGGAAGTGGATGCCATTTCGGCTTCCAGTCAACTGAACACTCAGTCCAAAATGGATGTGGAAAAAACAAACAAAAAGATAAAGCAAAACCCAAAAAAACCCAGCCTAGTACACTAGGCCTTGATTGGCTCCTACAAGGGGCTCCCGGCCCACAGCTCAGAAACCTCCAATCCCAGCAGTTCACATATGCGTTTGTTTGTTTTTCTCCCCCCCTCATTGCTCCCCTGCTGGAACCCTATTGCTTTTCTTGTTGGAATATCTGCTGTTAAATTGCTTTCTGTGGCATTACTTCCTGTGAGGAAGCTTGCTGGTGTGTGTACAGGACTTATTTGGACAAAGTAGTTCTGGTCAGAGTTGTGGGGGTTTTTTTTATATTTTTTCTTCTTTCTTTTTTCCCCCCTCCTTTTATTATTATTAATTTTAATAAACATTTACAGAGGTTTTGGATTTCCATTCATTCATTGCCGTACTTTTCTCCCTGCCCACCCTTCCCACCAGTTCGCTCCCCTGTCCGAAAAGAAAAAGAAAAAAAAATTCGTTCATTGGTATACAATTCCCCCATCCCTTCCCCCTCACCCCCCATCCCGAGTACACTTCTCTATGCAACCTTAATTCTCAAACAAGATCCACACCTCACTCCATATACAAAAACCAACTCAAGGTGGATCATGGAGCTAGGACTAAAACCAAGGACAAGAACTTCATTAAAGAAAGGCTTGGTGGAACTTTAGTAGTCCTAATCCACAACATAAAAAGTCTTCCAAGTATCCTGAAAAATCTACAACCAGGAGAAGATAAAATAGATGAATGGGACCTTCTAAGAATCAAATCTCTGTGCACATCCAAAAACTTCTCCAGTAGGGTAAAAAGGGAAGCCACAGACTGGTGGAAAAAAGTATTTGGTAATGACATGTCAGATAAGGGACTTATATCCAGAATTCATAAAATACTTGAACACCACAACAAGATAAAGGTAAGTAATCCAATTGAGAAGTGGGCACAGGATATTAACAGACACTTCACCAAAGAAGACATTCAGGTGGCCAACAAGCACATCAGGAAGAGGGAGAGCCTTAATGAGATGGAATGACACAATCAGAGATGGTGTGGACAGCACAGGATTTGGCAAGGTTTCAACCTATTGTTCATAGGGTCACTAAGCATTGTTAGCAAGAACAACTAGAAAAGAAATCCAGTGATCAGCACCCTACTGTACATGGTAACAGAGGGTGTGAAATATCATATGGACACGAGAGCTGCTGTTCCTTAAAAGGTTGACACGGTAGAACCCTGGCTCTCCCAACTAAGCTTTTCAGGAACAGTTTTACTCTCTTAACAACTTTTCCACGTACCGTTAAAGATGGAACAACTGTACTTCTCCTGACTCACTGATACAGTTAGTCTTGGCTAGGAACCTTCTGTGTACATTTTGAAGAACTTTTAAAATCATTAAAGTTATACAGCTATACTAGAAAAATAGGAAGATTCTACATCAGCACAGAGCATATATAAGATAGATGTACATGAACATGTTTTGTGGACTGTAGAATCAGACTGACCCATAGCTGACCTTCCCTCAGGTTTTCAGAGGCAGTTAATCACCCAGGAGGAAGAGTGCTCATTTGGGACTCTGGAAATGAGATACTGCAATAACTTGTTAAATGTATGCTCCTTCGTGTATCATTTTATTCTTCTGGCTTAGTTTCCTTATTTTATTTTTTTTTAACAAGGGATTCTCTTGATTTCAAATGATAGGATGACCAGTTAGAATGGACCTGACCACCTAGAGAAGGTAAAGCTGCAGAGAATATAGAATGCTGCATGAGTACAGGAAGGGAAAAGACTAAGACCAGGGATGCTGGGTGGGGCTTCATTCCAGCTCTGTGTCTAGAGGCAGAAGTGCCTAGACAAATGCAGTTTTGGAATTTGCTTACCCAGAGGGAGTGTCTTTCTCATTTACACAAAGAAGTCTTTAACGGTGCTAGTTATTATCCAGTTCACCAAGTATAGGTTTTACTTTGGTTGCCACACTAATCAGTTTATAGTGATCCTGAATCCTAAAGTGTAAGATAGTAAAATAAGCATTGCAAATGGGTAGTTTGGAAGCAGCAGTGACATCCACTTCTGAAATAGCTTGCTTCCAGAAACTATGAATGTGGAGAAATGATGAAAGTTATAAAAGTCTTCAGGTCTTTCATTTATAGGGTTGCTTATAAGTCCTCTACAACTCCACAGTACCTAACAACAACAACAATGGGTAGTAGAGGGGGAAATGATGGTAGGTATTTGTAGATCCTAAGTCTACTAACTTCAGTAGATTAAAATGTAGATGAGAGAACTCTTTAAAAGGGATATATTAATGGGTATTCTTGTCATTACAGAAGTCCAGAGTGAAGGCTGCATAGTAGAGTAGACTTGGGGGGAGGGATTGCATAACAATCAAAGAGTTTTTCTTTCTTTTCAAGGAGAAGAGTCAATTGGGGGGGAGGGAGCGGGGAGGGAGAAAAGTGTAACAATGAATGACTGGAAACCCTAAGTCTCTGTAAACTTTCATTAAAATTAATTTACAAAATGTAGACGTGAAAATTTTTATGGAGTGTTTGAAAATGCAAGCTTAGGAATCAGATTGTGTAGGAATTCTAGCTTTTCACTACCAGCTGTGTGACCTTGGCAGCTTCATTAATTTCTCTAAAGTCCCGTTAATGTATTTATAAAATGGAGATAATGACAATAAAAGCTTCACAGAATTGTTGAATGGAGTTAATGTGGTAAGTGCCCCGAACACAACAAATATTTGTTAAACTTAGCCTTTTGCTGTTATTTGCCATTGAGTCAGAACTGACCCATAGCTGACCTTCCAGCAGGTTTTCAGAGGCAGTAAATTGCATGGGAAAAGATTGCACCTCCTTCTCCCACAGAGCAGCTGGTATATGAACCACTTACACTGTAACTAGTTGATAATTTCTCAGTGGGCCATGTCCTAGGGACACACCTCTCCCCCTGAATTATTGCAATAGACTTTTTTTTCTCCACTCCTAAAATAAGTCATATTAATGATCCTGAATTTCTGATGTCATGGGGTCTATGAAATTAAGGATGACTAAGTGTAGGTTGCTCTGAAGACTTGGCAAACACTAAGGCTCCAGGAATTGATGGAATACCAGTTGATTTATTTCAACTTACAGTTGTTGCCCTGACGTGCTCACCAGGTTGTGCAAAGAAATCTGGAGAACAACTATCTGGCCAATTGACTGGAAGAAATCCATATTTATTCCTATTTTTTTAAAAAAAACAAAACCAAAAACATGACCCAACAGAGTGGAAATTTACCAAACAGATAACTAATATCACAACGACTGAAACAGTAGCTCGACAGAGAACTACCAGAGATATAACCTGGACTTAGAAGAGACTGTAGCACTAGAGACATTTTCACCAATATCACATGAATCTTGGCAGAAAGCAAAGAGTACCAGAGGAATGTTTATCTTTGTTTCATTGTGTATGCAAAGGCATTTGACAATGGAGCACAACAAACTGTGGCTAACTTTGAGGAGAAAGGCAATCCCAGAACACTTGTTTGTGCTTATGTGAAACCTGTACTCTGACTCGGAAGCAGTCATCAGAACAGAGCATGGAAACATTACATGGTTCAAAATCAGAATAGGAGTACATCGGGGATGTGTTCTGTCTCCATAACTTTTCAATCTATATGTAGAACAGATCATTAGGGAGGTGGGGCTTTATGAGGAGGAATGTGGCATCAGGATTGGAGGAAGACTCATCAACAACCTGCGTTATGCAGATGACAACCTTGCTTGCTGAAACTGAGGAGGACCTGAAGTGCTTGCTGCAGAAGGTGAAGGACTGTAGTCTCCAATATGGATTTAAGTTCAATATCAAGAAGACAAAGATTCTCACCACTGAGCCAGTTGTCAGCATTATAATAGATGAAACAGCTCCACAATCAACATTCTTGGCACAGGCAGTCAGGAAATCAAAAGATGAATTGCCCTGGGAAAATTTGCTGTGAGGGACCTCTCTAGAGCACTGAAAAGCAATGACGTCAGTCTAGAGACTAAGGTGCACCTGATTCTGGCCAAGATCTTTGCAATTACTTGCTATGCATCAGAGAGCTGGACAGTGACTAAGAATGACAGAAGAATTGATGCCTTTGAGTTGTGGTGCTGGGGGAAAGTCTTGAACATAACCATGCACCTCCAAGAAGACAAATAGATCTGTCTTGGAGAAGGTGAAATCACGTTTCTCCTTCGAGGCTAGGATTTTGAATCTCTGTCTCACATATTTTGGGCATGTGGCTAGGAGGGACCTATCCTTGGAGAACATCATTCTCAGAAGGGTGGAGGGACAGGGCAGGAGAAGACGACCCTCAGTGAGATGGATTGATCCAGTAACTGAGGCACTGGGAGTAGGTTTGTTAGAGTCGTTGAGACTGGCTCAGGACAGGGCAGGCTTCAGAGCTGTTGTGCATGTAGGATCTCTATGAGTCGTAGACAACTCAACAGCATGTAACAATAATAATAGGTTGCAGACCATGTTATGTTGTGTGTTATGTGTTATGTATCATCGAGTCAGAGCTGACTCCTTGCTGACCCTCCATTAGGTTTTCAGAAGCAGTAAATTACACAAGGGGAGATTGCCCATCTTTCTCTTGCAGAGTAACTTACAGATTTGAATCAGGAGCTTTTGGGTTGGCAGCACGTCTTACCAGATCGCCCTTGTATTTGCAGCATTCCTTCTAGAGAAATTGGTAGAGTATCTGTAAGAATTGTTTAGTGGCCTTGAAATAAAAAAAAGAAAGAATTTTAATTGAATCTCTTCATTATCATTTCCTAGACCAGTGTGCAGTGGTTAAGTGCCCTGCTACTCACTGAAAGGACAGTTTAAACTCACAGTCTAAAGGCGAGCTGTTGATCTGCCAGCTGCCACATGGAAGATAATCTCTTCCCGTGCAGTGTAGTGCCTCTGAAAACCCACTGGAGGGTCAGCTCTGAGTTGGTTCTGACTTGTTGGTGCACAACAACATCTCCTCTGTGGGAGGAAAAAAAGTGATGATTTGCGCCAGTAAAGAACACAATTCTGTGAAGCAGTTCTAATCTGCCAGAAGGAGTTGTTTGTAGGGTTCCTCCCCTTTCTTTTTTTTTTTTTTTTCTAAAAAGATACTGAATGTTTCATGAATTTGAATGTCATTCTTGTGCAGGGGCCATGCTAATCTTCTCTGTATCACTCGAGTTTTAGTATATGTGCTGCCCAAGTGAACATCAGGGGGTTATTCTGAACCCCAAATGACTCAATGACACTTTACAACAACAGTAATCTTGTGCCTTGATAGCACTGAGAGTACCAGTAATGCAGCATTTGACAGCTGGTGGTTGTAATGACCTGTAGTATAAACAATAAATTTCGTTTATTCCTTTTATAAAGTAAGGAGAATATGTGATTATTTTAAGATTTTCATTAAAATGGGTATGATTTTTTAAAGCATTGGAAACAAATAGTGCTATATATTTAACTTTGTTTCTCCCTTGTAAATATGACCTGTTTGGGGAAATAGGATTTCTCTTTGAAGATCTTATCAATTAAACCATGTCAGAGTAGAATAGGTTCAAATCCTAGGCCTTCTTTTTTTTTCCCACAAAGTATTTTTTTAGATTTTATTTTAATAATTTTAATGAACACTTACAGAGATTTTGGATTTCCATTCATTCATTGTTGCACTTTTCTCCCTGCCCAGCCCTCTCCCCGCCCCCACCACCCCAGTTCGTGCCTCTCTTTGAAAAGTAAAATTCTTTCTTTGATATACAATCCCCCCCGCACCCCTCCCACCGTCCCAAGTACATTCCACTATGCAACCTTAATTGTGGACTCTTGTGATAACCATAATACCCTATCATACATCGCTTTTAAATTATTCTTTCCCTCATCTGTTTCAATGCAGTATACACAATTTATCCAGTTTTTCTTAGTCTTACTCCAACCCTGATATCAGCCCCATTTTATAGCAGTGACACCATGCAGTATTTGTCCTTTTGCGACTGAGATATTTCACTCAGCATAATGTCCTCCAGGGTCATCCATTTTGAATAATATTGCATGAGTTCTTTGTTTTTCAATGCAGCGTAGTATTTTCATTGTGTGAATATACCACAGCTTCTCTATCCATTTGTTTGTTGATGGGCACCTGGGTTGTTTCCAACTACTTGCTATTGTGAACAAAGCCAAGATAAACATGGGTGTGCATATATCTGCTTGGATGTCAGTTATGGTCTTTGGAATATATTCCCAGTAGTGGAATTGCGGGGTAAATCCTATGCCTTCTAAGTAGTGCCTTAGAAAAGTGTAGAACAAGCGTAGTCACACACTCCCAAGGAGAAAACACTATGTGATGATGGGATCAAAAGTGTCTGTTGGAGCAAAGGAGCACAAGCTCTATGAACAGCCACCAAAAACTAGGAGAAAGTCTTGGATGGAACAGTTTCTCTCTCACATCCTCAGAAGGAAGCCAAAAAACTCAGATTCAGATTTGACATCTGGCTTCCAGAACTGCAAAACCTTCCTATGTTCTTTGAAGAGACTTTGTGCTATGTTATCTTATGACATTTCTAGTCAACTAAGATAAGTGGAAAGCTTTGTGTGTTTGGAAAGTTCTCATAATATGGAACAAGGAGTTAACTGTTGTATGAAATAGAAGAAGTTAGCTTGGGAGGTAAATGACACTGTGTAATTGTTGTGTGAGATATATTAATTTCCTTTTTTTTTTTTTTTTACAGATTGTTTAACAAACAACAGTCAAGAGTTGTCAAACAGCACAGTACATTTCCTCAATCAATTTAATTACACCTTGACCTGCTTTGAGCATAACCTTCAGGTATTTTACATGCAATTCACGAAATTAAAATACTTCTTGTTTAAATGAATAATAATTTCAATTAGTATAGCATTAATTATTGATGTTTATCTATACATATGATTAAGAGGAGTTAGTGGACATGAATGTCTACTTTTAGGTTTTCCCACTTACCTAGCTTTAGGCAAATCATTAAAACTTCAGTTTTCTCATTTGTAAAATGGCAGTAATAATATCAACCTTCTTTGCCTTCAAGTATTTTGTAGTGAGGACACAATGAGATAAGTGTGCAAACATTAATCAGTGGTTAATTAAGTAAGCATAGACTTAATTAAAACATATTGTTCTAACAGGAAATTATTTTTACTTAAGCAGTATTAAAATATTTTGTAGTATACTGTGTTTTTGTCTATAGGAAGTTCACTCTGTCTCAATATTTGTATAAATACATTTTACTGACTTTAAAAGATACTACTTAGTAAGGTCACTTTGAATATTGAATTATGATGTAAAAAAGTAACATTAATAATCCTCCTTCTGGTTGTCATTTTCTTCATGTCTGAAAGTTTAGTACTAGATTTTATTGGTGGTTCAGGGAATGGTGATAAGGTTGTTGTTTAGAAATTAATATAACAAGTAAGAAATTCCCACAAGTAAATGTTAAGTATGTGTAGGATATAAATATGCATGATTTCCTCTTTCAAGAAAGTGACAATACCTTATTATGAATTTCCCTAAGAATATTAATTATTAGTTGAACATTTCCTAAAATGTGCTCCTCAAGATTTTGATAGATAACCCACTAAACAAAGAGTTTCATGTCTTGTTAAATTTGGGAAATGCATTACTCCAGGACAGTAAGTTCTTTTTAGGGAAATTTTGCAGAAGTTATGCGTGTCATTTCTGCTTTTGTTTCATTGATGTAGGTGGGTGGCCATGTACTCTTCTGAAGAAGGACTGTATCTAAAAAGAAGCAGCAATTAGGGATTGGAGACAATTTAGTTCTGTCACATTGGTGTAATTAAAATCTTAATGACCCTATTTACATCTTCCCTTTTCCATATTCTAGCCTTTGGAAACAAATTATTATGTATTCAAGGGGTAGAAGTGGAGCATTTAAGCTCTACTTCCTATAAGGGAAAATATCTCCTTATGTGATTTCCGTATCTTCTGTATGGAGCTGTTCCTCTGCACATTTGTTTGTCAGTGCTGTGTGTATCAATATGGATTTTTATTTTACATGTTGGATTATAATTATTTCTTTGAAGTTGTTTACTGTTTGCTAAATTATTTCTTTTTCAGTAGGACATTTGGTTGATATTTCGATTTGTCTCCTTTGTAGAATTTTTTTATTTGCTTGGTATTCATGGGACTAGTGATTCTTCTGTTTAGTGTTGGGCTCATTTTTTTCTTCATCTTCATGTGCTCAGTGTGTGGCAGGATGATTTTACCTGGCTAAGATGACTAGAAGAAATTGAAAAAGTCCCTCCATATACTGTTTGGCTTATGCAGCTTGGCTTTTGAAAACTCTCTCAGCAGGCAGTGTTTGTATATCTATCCCTCTAACAAATATTTATTGGGCACTGATTACATGACAGACAGTGTCTTGGACACTGAGAATAAAGTGGTGAACAGGACAGGACAGGTAAGATTTCTACTCTCATAAACTTATTTACCAGAAAAGATGAAATTAATAACAAGTAATTAAATAAGGTGATTGACAGTGATGAGTACTAGGAGGAGGTGTCAGCCTCCATTGTGGTCAAGTCAGAATTGACTCACAGTTGAACCTCAGCAGATTTTCTGAGGCTTTAAATCACATGAGAGGAGGTTGCACATCGTTCTTACATGGGTCAGCTGGTGGATTTGAACTGCCTGTCCTTGGGGTGGCAGTACAACTTCTTACCCACTAGACTATTACTTAAGATACAATGGGCTAGCAGGACCTTTCTGAAGAGTTGGATCTAAGATTTGAGACCGACACAGTCATGGGAAAGTGTTGCCACAGAAACAAGGATCAAGGCCTTGAAGTGAGAGTGAGCTTGGTATGTGCAAGCAATAGGAAGAAGGCCAGTTTGGCTGCAGGATAGGGAGCAAGTGTGGAATGCCATCTACGGAGAAAACCAAAATGAAACCAAACCCACTGTGATCTTTACAGGAGTAGAGGACTTGAGCTGTCTCTCATGGAGTCACTGAGTGGCCTCACACCACTTCCTTCCAGCAATCAGCTGCTTGCTTAACCATAAGTACACTACTCAGGCTCCTTACTGTATGGGTACATTTCCATTTATTTAGCCAGACCCCACAGTGATGCACGTTTGTTGCTGTTGTTAGGTGCTGTTGAGTATGACTCAATGAAGCCCTATGAACAACGCATCTGAACCTGTTCTGTTCTGCCAGCCTTACCATCTCTCACATACTTGAGCCCACTGCTGCGCTGGGCAGTCTATCTCATTGCTGCTGCAGTCCATCTCATTGGGGTCTTCTTTTCCTTCACTGACCCCTCCACCTTTCCAAGCATGATGTCCTTTTCCAAGTTTAGTTTGGTTCATTATTTTACTGTTACAAGCTGTTGCCTTTTTCATATGACTTGAAATATTTTAAATGGTGTGAATATTTGAGTATTTGGCTTAGTGTGTTGTGCTGCTAAGCAAAAGGCTGTATCGCTCCTTTGATGTGACTCCAGCAGCAGCTCTAGGGGAGAGAGATGAACAGTGTGTCCCCCTGTTAAGATTTAGAGCCACTGTGAGTTGGAATTCACTCAGTGGCATTGGAGTTGGTGTTTCTGTTTTTAAAGTGCTTGTATGACTATATCTGTGTGGTAGTTTCCTAGAAGGGAAATTGCACTGTCAGAATCCATAAAGGGTTCTTTTTTAATGCTCTATTTGTGATTGAACACATTTAGCAAAGTGCCTGAGTGTTTTGTGGAAAGCAGGCAATAGGCGATATCTTGTGGCAGAACTATAGGGATATTTAGTTGTTCTTCTAAATAGATAGTGAAGGAAACATTGTAGAAACTGTATCAATTTAATTTCTTTACCTTTTCCTTTTAGATTTCATTCCAATGTTGAGTTAATGTTACTTTTCCAGGCTACTAGGCTAAGCACAAAGGAAATAGAAAACACAACTGTGAACTTACTACTCAACACATTTGTTCCTGAAAATACAAGTGTCATCTAGAAGTAGAAAAACCTAGATTAGCTAACATAGTATTTTATATGTGCTATCACCTCCTCTCATTGAGATTATATAAGTCTTTTTTACTTTGTTTTTAACGTCTATTTTACTTTTATTGACTTAAAGGAGTCAAATTGTGAGTCTTGGAGTAAGAGGAATGGGTGAGAATGTAGTTTTGAAGGCTTTCCTAATATAAAAAAGTGCTATTTGACCTAATTAGTCAAATTTTGATATTGAATTGAATGCAGGGATAAGCATGATTTAATTATTTGGTAAAAGGATATATCAATGCAGGTAAGTAAATGATAAGACTATTTAGAAAATTTACTATATAAATAACTGTAATTTGACATGCAAACTAATGGAAGCCACAGTTCACAATAGTTAGTGCAATAATTTTCAAAATTTAAGAATATCTAAAAAGTGCCATATATTTTGTTATGTGCCTTTATATACTTCAAGTCTCTAATCCTTGGTACAAGTAGAAGTAGCTCTGTTTTACAGATGTTGAAACGGAGACTCAAGAGTGATGTAGTAACTTATCTAGCATCACAGGTCAGCACTTTAACATACTTTATTGTTTCTTGTCCTCCAGGGACATAAACAGCTATGTTAAAGGTTTATTGTATGTGTTTTGTGTGTCTTTTTTCATTTTAGGGGAACTCACATAGTCTTCTACAGCTAAGAAATTATTCTGAAGTATGTAAAAACTGTCATGAAGCATACAAAACTCTTAGTAGTCTATACAGTGAAATGCAAAAAGCAAATGAACATGAGAATAAGGCTGAGCCTGGAACACATTTATGCATTGATGTCGAAGATGCAGTAAGTCCTTTGCTTCCAATATGATATTTATTTTCCAATGTTGACTGTGATGTTAATGTTATTGTCCCTTTTGGGAGTACATTGGGATCTTCACATGCTGTTTCCTGCAAGAAATTATTAGTTACCAGATAATAAAACTTTAGAATTATATATCAAAGTTAAGAATGTGGTATACTTTGTTTAAAAATTTGATAGTGTGTACAATTTTCAGAGGCATAGGAGCTGTATGCTTACATTTCAGTTTATTTCACATTGCTTAATATAAACAATCTCTAGGTTTTTCTACAATGTTTCTCAAGGTATTTCCCCATGACTATCCCATTGGTTTGTTTGTTTTCTTCTTTTACTGTTTTGAAAGTAAGGGATTACTTACTGATGAAGGGAGTTCTGGTGACCTAGTGGCAAGAAGCTGCACTGCTGTCTTGAATGCATGCCATTCAAGGCCACCAGCTTCTCTGTGGGTGAAAGAAAGGCAAGCTCCTCCCATTCCATTAACTGCCTCTGAAGACCCTCTGGAGGGTCAGCCAGGGGTCGGTTCCAACTCCGGGTACTCAACAGCAAGGGGTTACTTACAGTCAGTCATTCTGCCATCATTAAAACATAAGCCACAACAACTATGCAATATTATCTCACCCCAGTCAGAATAGCAACATTTAACAGAATAGCAAGCAACAAATGCTGGCGAGGTTGTGGAGAAACTGGAACCCTTATTCACTGTTGGTGAGAGGAGTGTAAAATGGTGCAACCATTGTGGAAAGCGGTGTGGCACTTTCTCAAAAAGTTGCAAATAGAGATACCATTTGACCCAGCAATTCCACTACCCTAAAGAAACTAGAACTGCCACCCAAGCAGATATATTCACACCCATGTTCATCGCAGCTTTGTTCACAATAGCTAGGAGTTGGAAACAACCTAAGTGCCCATCAACAAATGAATGTATAGAGAAGTTGTGGTTTATTCACACAATGGAATAGTACACTGCATTGAAAAACAAGGAACTCATTCAGTATTATTCAAAATGGTTGACCCTGGAGGACATTATGCTGAGTGAAATATCTCAGTCACAAAAGGACAAATACTGCATGGTGCCACTGTTGTAAAGAGTGACTGACATCAAGGTTGGGGTAAGACTGAGAAAAACTGGATAGATTATTTATACCTAATTGAAACAGAGGAGGGAGAGAACAGTCTAAAAGTTATATATGATAGCATATTATGGTTATCACAGGAATCCAGAATTAAGGTTGCATAGCAGAGTGCTTTGGGGGGGTGGGGGCGGGGGATTGTATACCAACGAAGAAGTTTATCTTTTGCTTTTCAAAGAGAGGAGCGAACTTGGGGGAAGGGGGTAAAGAAAAAAGTGCAACAGTGAATGAATGAAAATCCCAAATCTCTGTAAATGTTCACTAAAAGTAATAAAATATAATTAAAAAAAGAAATTAATATAGCTTGGCATAAAAAAGTGAAAACAAATAAAAACATAAGCCACATGAGAACAGTCATCTTTTTTTGTTCACTACACAAGTATTACATTCAACTGTATGTAATATGCAAGCATTGGGTTTGGCTATAATGCCTAACATACAGTAGTTGTTTAGTAACAGTCTGTAGCGTTTTGCACTGCTAACCAAAAGACCATGATTCCAATGGTTTAAGTCTATCAGGGGCTCCTTGAGAGAAAGATGAGCGTCTCTTCCTGTAGAAGACTTAGAAGCTCAGAAACATGGTCATAATGCCTACTTTTACACAGAGCACCACTAGGTGGTGATCACGCCTTGTTAAGGCAACATGATGCTTGAGTGAATTTAGGTATTAGGGGAAATTTAGAAACCTTTGACTAAAATTATTGAGCCCAATATCAAAATTGATAAATGTATGGTTGTAAATGATAAATTTCTGCAGCATAGGATAAAATAGTGGATCAGCAATATTTTCAATAAACAATAAGAAAATTAAGATTCTCAAATGCTTCACTGAACAAAGCAGAGTCCAACTATATTTCTACTTACAGTTTTCTCTTTGAAATCTGTGAAAGGTTGACATTGCAGAGTACTCTGAACAGTATGAATTTAGAAGATGATATTTCTGTGTGGATATACAATGACTAATTGTAAATCAGTCTTCGTTGGCAGAAGAAACTGTCCTCAAACGAAAATAGATTTTCCCCCCACCCGAGCAGTTTTTATATAGACCGTTTAGTGATGCTGGTTACAGTCTTTGAGCTGTTTAATTCTTGTCCTCTTCTGACTAATTCTTCCCTCATTTCCACAGATTCACTGCCCCCTAAGGGTCCTGTCTGATCTTTAAGTTATTGTTGTCCGTTTGATACAATATAGATGTTAAATAAGCATGATTGTGTTAGGGTAGATATTTTTTCACTGGTTAAAGAATTAATTAGTTTCAAGAAGATTTCAGGAGATGTTTTTGGTTTAAGGTTTAACAATTATCGCAAGTAAGTAAGTTCAGGGGTTCATCCAACCTGCATGACTCCAGGAACTATGGAATCCTTGAGAATTCTAACAAGAGATTAGGCATCAGTTTCTGGGTAGCACAAATGGTTAATCAAATGCTTGCATGCTAACTGCAAGACTGGTGGTTCAGGTCTACCTAGAATTTCCTCAGAAGAGAGGCCTGGTAATATATTCCTGGGGGGGAAAAACAACCGCTAAGAACTTTATGAAATGCTTTTATTCTGTAACATGTGGGGAACCCCATGAATTGAAATATACTCAGTGGCCACAAGCAGTAGGCTAAAATCTGGGTACTTGTTAAATTATTAACAAAATAACTGTTTAAAATGGAACACAGATTAAACATAACAGTGGTATTTTTTTGTTGTTCCAGATGAATATTACTCGAAAACTTTGGAGTCGGACTTTCAACTGTTCAGTCCCTTGCAGTGACACCGTGCCTGTAATTGCTGTTTCTGTGTTCATTCTCTTTCTACCTGTTGTCTTCTACCTTAGTAGCTTTCTTCACTCTGAGCAAAAGAAACGCAAACTTTTCCTACGTAAGTTACTTTTTATAATTGTTCTTTACTTAGATCAAGCAAATCATACATACTTCAAAACTTATTTTAGCCTAAAATGACTCTGCTTCACATCGTACAGTTATGCGTGCTAATGGAAGAAATATGTGAGACATTTATAAAATGATAATAAAAATCCAAAGTAAAATGCCACTCAGATGATTTCATGTAGAAAGCTGATTACCTTCCAAATAATGTTAGCAAACATTAGAACAAATGGCGACAGACTGGCTTTGCAGTCTTGAAATAGAAATAGTAGAGATTTGATGTAGACAGCTCTCTAGTCCAGTGGAGAATAGTAGAACTTTCTAGAGTGCAACAGGTGGGGAGAAGCTACAGCTAACATGCAGACAATTTGTAAAAACTATACTTGACATGTAGTACTTGCTCTCTGCTTATTAATTTTTTTCCATTCTAGCCATCAGGTAAGACAAGGCAGAATAGCACTAACTACTACTTGTTAGCAGACTTCATCTGTATGAAAAAGAGTTGCTTTTCAGTCATATTGGTTTCTTGTATTTATTATCAGCATTATAATGTACCTTAATAATTTTAGTTTTTCAGATAGAAAAAATTTGGAGAGAAAAGTTAGGGTGTTTTGGAGGTTTTCCCCCTATTAACACTCCTAGTTTAGGAATGCTTTGTATTCTTACACTTAAAATCTTTCAGTCACTTCTTATTAATGGTTTATCTAATTCCAATTCTAATTTCATGTTACCTACACCTTAGCTCACACATTATCTACTTAAAGAGATCCTTCCTGATCTCCTAATCTAGAAATGAACACTTTTCTTCATCCTTCTGCAACTTTGGAAAAAAAAAGACTTTGACCTTTGATAGCACCTAATTACTAAACTTTTAAGTTAATATTTTTAATTCCCATCCTTATATGTAGTTGTTTCCCCTCATTAGACTGTATTCTTTGACTCCCTTTTTATTCATTCTAGTGACTCATTTCTATTAACATAGTGATAAGAATTCCTTGAAACATTCTTTTGAGAACTGTACACGTTTTTGTGAATATGCATATATATGTAATATACAACTCTTTTTTTCTTTGTAAGCTATTTATTGTATATATTTATTAACATTATTGAGAATTTGTTTACTGAGTTCTTTTAAGAAGCACTTAGATTTGGATTTCTAATACTATATAGCACTTTTATTTCCTTTCTTTTTAAATTGTTATCTGAGTGAAGGTTTACAAAATAGATTTATTTTTCATTTACTTTCATTTTGTAAGTAGACTATTTTCCATTACATATATAATTTGGATTGTAATGTTAAGAAGATATGTTATATCTTAAATTATGTTTTATTTGATACTGTTTCTAACAATCATGTGCAACTTCTAGCTACTAAGTTACATTTTCTGAGGTTGGTTCTGTTAAGGGGAAAAGCTAGGTTTTAGTTCTCAGAATAATAGCCTTACTGAGATTCAAACATAAAATTATTAGATGAGTACTGTAGTTGTAGTTTAGGAGCCCTGGAGCACAGTTGTTTGTTATGTGTTGGACTGATAACTGAAAAGTCAGGTTCCAGTCCACCAACAGCTTTTGATAGAAAGTTGAGTAAATCTCTTCCTATTCAGCATCTGTAGCCTTAGAAACCTTGGGGAGGGTTGCCATTGGTCAGAATCAATATGTTGGTGGTGTGTTTGGGTGGTTTGCATAAAAATAATGAGAATGAAATTTAAGTATAATACTGTCATTTATCTAGCCAAACGTCTCAAGTCCAGTACCAGCTTTGCAAACATTCATGAAAATTCAAACTGAAACTTTCAAAATGGATAACTAACATCATATTGAATCAAGGTGAATGGTGAAGATACAGCTGGGTCAGAAAGAAGATAAACTGTGATTTGAGGAGTCTTAAGAAATTCAAGGACTTATAAAATGCAAGGACCTCGTATTTCTTTTTAAATAAGAATTTTCCATTTTCCCTTTGGTTTTCCACTGTTTCTCTTAAGGTTTGACAGTCTTTATTTCCAGGCATGGCAATGATGTGTATTTTAAAGTGAATTTGTTAAATTAACTCAAGATGCCAGAACAATCTTTATTTTATAGATATATTATTGTTTGAGACTTCTAGTAGCTCCTTATAAACAAAAGTATCTTAAACAGCTATCTTTGACAACTATCATTTCAGTTTTAATCATTTACAGCAAAGACTTTGAGGACAATATACACACATTTGCCAAAGAGGTACAAAGAGTAAAATACTCTTCATTGTAGTGTTATTATTCCATCTGTATCTTTAAAGTATCACACATTGCATATAATATATGTCAATCTCTAATTTCTCTAATTTTTGAATTAATAACTACAAACCTCCCTAACAATTTTTAGAAGCAGTCAGGTACATAACATTTACCTTTGTAAAAAGATTTATGGTAACTTGTTTCTTACTTGACTTTTATAAATACTCTTTTACAATTTATTTTTTTTCCTTTATTTCATAAGTAATTTGAAATCACTGAATTGCTTTGTTATATTCAGGGAAGGATTGATTCTTTTTATACAAAAGATTTTCACTGTGAATTACATTAAGTTATTTGGCAATTTATAATTTATTACGACTTTAAATCAAATTTAGCATTGCCACATATTAAATTGTGATTTTTAAAAAGGAAGACTTACTCTTGGGATATATGGGGATTTTTTGAAGGTGAAAGAAAAGAGAAGTAAATTAAGTTTAAGATTCAGAAAATTGTGAACTTGAGGGCTTCTTTCTCTCATTGTGAAGAAGTTCATTTTGGGGGCAAAAAATCAGAATGAAACTATGGTAAAGAAAGCAGTTAGATTAAGATAATACTTATTTCTTTGAACTAGTAAATCTGATGGAACTGATAGGATTGAAGTGAAGTTGGATTGAAGACCTGAGTTTGCCAGAAACAAATACAATTTTGGAGTATTTATATTAATCTTGTACAAATAACTTTAATTTCAGAATTGTTCACAATTTTCTTTCTCACAGTTTTAGAGTTGAGGACTCACTCCATTTATTAACTCCTTGTTTTCCTGGTAGAAATAGGCTTTATTTTCCACCTAGGAACACATATGAAGGCTGCTCTTTATTGAAAGAAGAGGTTGGTTAAATGGTACAAGAATTTTAATCTCTTCATGTAAAATGTTCTGTAGAGAGACAATAAAATGTTTTCTGGGTTGGTTTGTTGTGTTTTTTTTTTTATGTTTACCTTATACTCAGAAAAGAAAAAGAAGGTTTATCTTTGAGTATGTAACAAGTAACAGTTTTTCTGGTCTGCTGTGATCCATTTAAAATGTGCTGGCCTTTGTTCACTGCCACTGTTCATAGTACTGATACTAATACACTATTTCAGTTTGAAGCATATGCTTGAGGGCCACTGAAAGAACTCTTTCATTAGTATAGATAAAACCAGCTTACATGTGCAGAGTTAGAAAATGACGTTTGATTCTGTTAAGCAGTGATTTTTTTACGTATCTTTCAACAATATGTATTTGTAAAACTCATGTTTGGATTTGGTTGTTAATAAGCACTTTAAAAAAGAAAAGGCAGCCTGTTACTATTTCTCTGGTTTAGTTATTGCTCCTAAGTACTAGTATCAGCAATAGAGTTCAAAATAAGTATTAAGTGCTACACTAAAGTTTGTGACTATTTCATTTTGCAGTCATATTGAACAATTATTTGTATAGTTCTGAATTCTGAAACATGAAGCATATGTATATGTATAAGAACATCTTATGTTTTTTGACACTTTAAAATAAAGGAAGTATCTTAAGGAAATTTTAATGTGCTTGATTTTTTAAAATACATTTTAAAAACTTAAGATGTGAGTTAACATGTAATTTTACTTTTTCAGATATACTGAGTTCAAATGCCTACTTTAAAAATGCCACCTGTCTTGAATTTTTGCTGCAAATAAAAATATACTTTTGGGTTACTTACTCTTTTTTGGATTTGAAAGGTAAAAATAGCATCAGATATTTTTATGCCTAACTTAACAAATTAGTAGATAAATATACCACAGTTTGATTGGGATTAGTATTTTCTAATGTTTCCTGCATGGGCTCTACTTGTTACTGCAATGCACTCTTTATAAAGAAAAATATTTTTTCATGGGAACCATGTGGTTATTGGGTTGCATCCCCAACTAACCCTTACTGTTTGCTCAGCTCCACAATCAACATGCTTGGCACCAGCAGTCAAGAAATCAAAAGACGAATTGAATTAGGTAAATCTGCTGTCAGAGACCTTCACAGACTACTGAGAAGCAAAGATGTCAGTCTAGAGACTAAGGTGTGCCAGAACCAGTCCATGGTCTTTGCAGTTACTAAAGAGGTTAGAATAAGAATTGATGCATTTGAGTTGTGGTGCTGGAGAAGAGTCTTGAACATACCATGGACCTCCACGAAAACAAATAGGTCTCTCTTGGTGAGGATGGAACCAAGTTTGTCCTTGGATGCTAGGATTTTGAAGTTCCATCTCAGATACTTTGGGAGTGTGGTCAGGAGGCCATTCCTTAGAGAAGAACATCATGCTCAGAAGGGTGGAGGGAAAGCACAGGAGAGGAAGACCCTAGATGAGATGGATTGATACAGTAGTAACTAGGGCAATGGGGGTAGGTATGTCAGAGGCAGTGAGACTAGCTTAGGACAGGGCAGGGTTCAGAGCTGTTGTACATAGGATCACTAGGAGTTGCAGACTACTTGATGGCACATAGCAACAAGAACAACTCCCAACCAAAGACTTGAAATATTTAATAGACAAAGAATTACATAAGCAAAATTATAAAGGCCCAAGAGGATAGCTGAGAAGATACTGTCATTATTGAAGAACTATACCCTGAGTTCTTTCTGTTCCTGAATTGTAACCTGCTACTTCCCTAGTCAACCCAGTGATTGTGAAATAGGCAGGGGAAAACAAAAATATAATAGTAATCTCTGTAACAATGTAAACAAGAGAATAATGTTCCAAGTACTTGTAAAAGTAATTGTATGCAGTTAGAATGTATACAAGTAGGATTGAAAATCTTTAGCTGCTTGTGTGGGTGAGCAGTTAGCACAAAGTTGTAAGAGTGAACAAGCAGATAAAATGTCGAGTTCAAATTTCTTCTTCCCTTTTTCATACTCAATTCTACAGTTCTTAAATGTTTATATAAGAGGGACTCAGTAGAAGTAGCAATCCATATGGAAAAGAAAAGTTGTGATCACTTATCATGAAGTCATTTGTGCACAGTAACTTCACTGTGTATTATTATAAGGTTTTTGGCTAATAATAGTTATGGAAGGCATTACATTGCCTACCACGTTTTGTTCACCATCTGCTCAGGACCCACTCTTGACAACTCCTCATCTCAGACCTGAGTAAAATAAAATGACTGTTTAGTTCTTTGGCTCCTCCTTCCAAGATTGTTTGGGTTTGTTGGGTGTTTTTTTTTTTAAATTGTCTTGAAGCTCAACATCAAGAAAACAAAGATTCTCATCACTGGGCCAATTGGCAGCATCATGATAGACAATGAAGAGATTGAGATTGTTGACAGCTTCAGTTTGCTTGGCTCTACAATCAACACTCGTACAAGCAGTCAGGAAATTGAAAGATGAATTGAACTGGGAAAGTCTGCTATCGGAGACCTCTCCAAAGTACTAAAGAGCAACGATGTCAGTCTGGAGACTAAGGTGCTTCTGATACAGGTCTTTACAATTACTTACTATGCATCAGAGAGCTGAACAATGACTAGGGATGACAGAAGGAGAATTGATGCCTTTGAGCTGTTGTGTTGGAGAAGACTGTATGATATACCGTGGACTGTTAGGAGAACAGGTTCTTTCTGGAGAGGATGAAGCCAGGCAGCTCCTTGGAGGCAAGGATTCTGAAGCTTCTGACATACTTTGGACATCTTGCAAGGTGAGATCAGTCATTGGAGAGGGATGTCATGCTTGGGAGGGTGGAGGGACAGCACAGTGAAGGAAAACTCTCCATGAGATGGGTTGATTCAGACACTGGGATAATGGGGATAGATGTGTCAGAGACACAGGATGTGTCAGATTGACACAGGAGGGAGCAGGATTTAGGACTGTTGTACATAGTGTTTCTAGAAGTTGCAGGCAACTCAACGGCACATAACAACAAACAACAACCTTTTCCTTTACTCCTCAACTTTACAATGGCTAGAATCACATGGAATAAGGACTATCCTTTGCTAATTTATTGTTACTGAATCTGTGCTACTAATGCTTTTAAAAATATTTGAGTGCTCGCTTCGGCAGCACATATACTAAAATTGGAACGATACAGAGAAGATTAGCATGGCCCCTGCACAAGGATGACATGCAAATTTGTGAAGCGTTCCTTATTTTTTTATATTTTAGGGCATTATTTTTATCGTAGGAGTATGCAATGAGGGTTGCAGAGTGGATTCTATTTGGGGGTAGGGCGTGGGGTTTGGGGAGGTGCGGGGGGATTGTGTACCAATGAGGGAGTTTTTCTTTTGCTTTTCAAGGAGAGGAGCAAACGGGGAGGGGGGGTTTGTGCAGGGAGAAGGGTGCAACAATGAATGAATGGAATTCCAAAATCTCTGTAGATGTTCATTGAAATGAAAAATAAACAACCTAAATTAAAAAAAAAATTGAATAAAATATTAAGTACTGATTTTTCACTCAGTCTTTTATACCTCTTTTGTAACATTAATTACAATTGATTGTTATTGTCATTATGTGCTGTTAAGTCAACCAGGACTTATATAGTGACCCTATAAACAATGAATGGCTCTGAACCTTGCCTTATCCTGAGCCAG